TGGCTTTTCATATGGGTGGGGAAAAGATTAATTATTGAATAAATGGTGTTAGGAACTCCAAGTAACATCAAAAAAAAAGAAAAAGAAAAAGAACTGGATCTCTAAATCTTTCCTTGTACCAAAATTAATAAAAGAATCAAATTTTAGAACAGAAAATATGAACAATAAAAGTACTAGAAAATAAAGAAATACTCAATAAGTGGTGTTGGGAAAGCAGAAGAATGAATCTGGACCCCTATCTTACATCCCTCACAAGAATTAACTCGAATTAACTGGAATAAAGACTTAAGCATGAAACTCCTGGGAAAAAAAACATGAAAAAAGCTCCTTGACATCGGTCTTGGCAATAATTTTTTGGATAATGACACCAAAAGCACAAGGAACAAAAGCAAAAATTAATAAGTGGGACTACATCAAACTAAAAAGCTTTTGCAGGGCAAAAGTAACAACAAAATGAAAAGGCAACCTTCAGAAGGAGAAAAATATTTGCAAATCATATATCTGATAAGGGGTTAATATACAAAATATTAAAAAACTCATACAACCCAATAGCAGAAAAACAAATTATCTGACTAAAAAATGGGCAGAGGAACCAATAAACATCTTTCCAAAGAAGACATACAAATGGCCAACAGTTCCATGAAAAGAGACTTGCCTCACTAATCATCAGAGAAATGCAAGTCAAAACCACAATGAGATGTCACTTCACACGTGTTAGAATGGCTATCAACAAAAAGTCAACCATGGCAAGTGCTGGTGAGGATGGGGAGAAAAGGGAACCCTTACATACTACTGGTGGGAATGTAAATTGGTACAGCTACTATGGAAAACAGTATGGAGGACTACCTTATGATCTCTTCATCCTACTTCTGAGTCCAAAGAAACTAAAATAACCATCCCAAAGAGATATCTGAACTCTCATGTTCATTGCAGCACTATTCACAATAGCTGAGATACAGAAACAACCATCAACAGATGAATGGATGAAGATGGAATATTATTCAACCATGAGAAAAAAATCCTGCCATTTCAACAACATGGATGAACCATGAGGGCTTTATGCTAAGTGAGATAAGTCAGAGACAGAATGACAAATACTGTATGACTGTATTTGTATTGGAATCTGCAAAAGGTAAACCCATAGAAACAGAGTAGAATGGTTATGGTGGTTGTGAGGGGCTGGGGACTGGAGAAATGAGTAGATATTGGTCAAAGGGTACAAACTTCCAGTTATAAGATGAATAAATTCTGGAGATCTAATATACAGCATGGTATTATAGTTAACTATATTGGTAATATAGTTAACAATATTATATACTCGAAAGTTGCTAAGGGAGTAGATCTTAAATGTTCTCACCACAAAAAAGAAATGATATTTAGGTGATGTGATGGGGGTGCTAGTTAATATATCAAATCAACATGTTGTATACCTTAAACTTACACAATGTTTTATGTCAATTAGATCTCAACAAAGTTGAAAAGAAAAGTACTTGAAAAAATATAGGAGAAATTAAAAAAAAAAAATCTCAGATTGGAAAAGGCTTTCTAGACATACTATAAAAGCCAGAAGGCACAAAAGAAAACACTGGCCAAAAAACCCCACCAAAAACAAACAAAAAAATCTCTAAAACAAAAATAAAAACAAGTTACAGACTGAGTAAAGAGATAAATGAGGACTGACAGAAAGTATTTGTACTACATATGACAGAATAAAGGTTAATTGCTTTGATATTAAGTGAAGTCCCTACAAATCAATTTTAAAGAAACCAACAACCAATCCAATAGAAAAATGAGCAAGGGACATGAACAGTTAGTTTGTAGCACCTGAAGAATATGTGACTTTACACAGGCAAAGACACTCAAGCTCATTCCTAAGAAGAGAAATTCAAATTAATGCTATTTTTCATCTACCGGATTAGCAAAGCTAAAAAAAAATAATCTGATAAACTGTATTTGCAAGGGTGTGAGGAAACTCAGACACGACAGGGGTTGGGGCCTAAACTGATCAAACCTGTATGGAGAATAATATAGCAATAGCTGTATTTAAATTGTAAATATGCTTCAGCTTAGTAGTCCCATTTCTATGAATATCTCAAGCAAGACAAGGATATACATTGCAGCATTGTTTATAATGACAAAAGATCAGAAACAACCTAAATGGCCATTCAAGAGCACTTTCCTTGGGTGCAGGTACAGAAGATCTCCCACACACATTACTAAGTGAAAAAAGCAAGATGTCTTGGGGAAGGGGAACAGGAAGTGGGGTCTGGGTGCTGCATTCAGAGAAGAGAGGGAGACTCACTTTGCAGTTTATCTCTGCAGCTGATCTCCAAACTTATTTCCGCTTCTTCCTGGGAACATAGCCTGTTTCCTAGACTCCTTTACATGGAGGAATGGCCACATGACTGAATTCTAGCCAATGAAACAGGCTCAACCCAGAAAAACCTCCCTTGTGCCATCCTTAATGCTTTTTTCTCTTTCAGTTGTCTGGAATGGTGCTGAGACCTAGCGCGACTTTGGGAATCAGGTTTTGACCTCAGAGTCACCTGGAGGGGAACTACTGTGTGAAACTCATGTGGGCAGGGACTTTATTGTGTTTAGCCATCAGAATTTTGTGGCATATCTATTTTAGCAGCTTTGTTAACTATTACGACATCCTTTTGACATTATATTAGCTCTTCAAAACAAAGCAAAACTCTCTCTGCTGGTCTCCTTCAGATGCTGGATCAACATCTTTGCCTGGTACTTCATACTTGGGCCTTGTTCAACCTCTTTGGCCTCAGCTCCAATGGCTGGAGTCTTAAACAGCTCCCCAGACACATGCCACCTAGATGTGCCCCTTTCCTCTGCTTCTCTGCTGTCAAAACACTTATCTCTGACCAGCTCAGCTCCTCCTGCCAGGTTTCTTCACTCCTTCCTGGACTTTTGCTGATATTTACCTAGTTGAAATGCACACATTTGACCTGGTATCCATTTGCCTTCCTATCCTATGTCCTCTCATTCCTCCCTGTGCCCCCAGTGCCCAGCTCTGGGATGTCTATGGAATAAAAGTTTGCAAGATCCTTACTTCCAGCCTTGCCCTCCTGTAGTCCATTTTCCAAAGAAGGAGAAACCAGTTAGTTTAAGATACAAATCAAGCAAGTCATCCTGAGGTAGGAGATAGATGGGCCCCTGGGCCAGACAGCTGGTATTTGCCAAGTGGAGTGAAACTAAAGCTTTGTCCACTCCAAGGACAAAGCTAGTGGCAGAAGCTGAGCTCTGCTGAAGTAAAGAGATAAGATGACCACTCCTGAGGTCAAGGAAAACTTCCCTGTCTGCACATCTGCAGGAAGGCTCCTTAGGGTTCCAAAAGGGAGGGGGTGCCACCCCATAATAAGTGTGGACATACCCCCACAGGCCTCTGAGGTGGGATCCATTTTAGCAAAAAGATGTGCACACATGTTGGGGATGTCCTAGGACTGGTCAGGTGTGAAAAAAGAAACAAGATAATTAGCCAAGGGACTTCCCTGGTGGCACAGTGGTTAAGAATCTGCCTTACAATGCAGGGGACACAGGCTCGAGCCCTGGTCTGGGAAGATCCCACATGCATCGGAGCAACTAAGCCTGTGAGCCACAACTACTGAGCCTGCATGCCACAACTACTGAAGCCCATGCGCCTAGAGCCCGTGCTCCACAACAAGAGAAGCCACCGCAATGAGAAGCCCGCGCACCGCAACGAAGAGTAGCCCCCGCTCGCCACAACTAGAGAAAGCCCATGCGCAGCAACGAAGACCCAACCCAAACAAAAATAAATTAATTAAAAAATATATAATTGGCCAAATGTAAACAAAGACCTGGAAGAACTGTCCTGTATGAGAGATTTAAATCATCTCTTTATTGCACTCCTCCTCATTAGAGAGGACGCCCATACTGTTTCTCTCTGGGTATGTATTTCTGCGTAACTTCTGACTTACATAAATAAACTGCTTCTCTGTGTGTTCTCCCATACAGTTGTGCTGTGTCTCTAATAATAAACTTTGTACGTGATTTTACAGTTTTTGCCTCTTTGAACCGTTCTTGCTTTCAAATGGGGGAAGGAGCCAGGGCCACTTTGCTTCTAGCCTCTAGCCCCTGGTGGTCTAGCGGCTAGGATTTCTGGTTTTCATCTAGGCTACCCAGGTTCACTTCCTGGGCAGGGAACTAAAAACTCTGCTCAGGACCACTCACTGCTGTCTCTCCGAGATCTATCCTTCCCTTCCAAACCCCTCACCACTGCCTCTAAAATCCTTCCACCTCTGGCCCTGCCCACCTCTCTCACCTCACCTCCCAAGCCTCTCCCCCTTGCTCACTGGCCTCCAGTTTTTCCCTTTCTGCAACACAAGTCAGATGTCCCATCTCAAGGCCTTACCCTTGCTGTTCCTCCCCCTGCAATGCTTCCCTTAGTCACAGGACCTTAACAATTCAGGTCTCTCGTGTCAATTCCTGACCAAGGGATTTAAAAGCAGTGCCCTCTGCCCCAACTACCTCTTCACCCTATTCATTTCCTTCACATCCCTTATCACAATCTGAAATTACCTCGTGTTTGGTTTGAGGTTGGCCTCTCCCACTAGAGTGTAAGCCCCCTGAAGTCAGGGCCAGGGTCGCTTCGGTTCTTGCCTGTACACATTAAGGGTTCAGGCACACAGTAGGGGTTCAGCCAACGTGCGGTGAACTCGCCAGATCCCGACACGCTACACCCACTGCGCGCCACGCGCGGGGCAGTGCCGGGGGCGCAAGAGGATCACCCTTCGAGCCCCCCCCGCCCCTTCGCGGGCGCGCACGCGTATTGGCGGCGAGCGGCCGAGGCGCAGCTCTGCCTGGGGCGGGGGAAGGCGCGGGTACGCCCCAGGGCCCCGCCGCGCGCCTGCCCATTGGCAGCCGCGCTGGGGACAGGGAGAGGTCGCGCAAGCGGCTGCCCGCCCGGCCATCCTTCCAGTTCAAGCCGCCAGGGCTCCGCTCGGCACTCCAGCGCGGGCCTCGGCATGTTGCGCGCAGTTGTGCTCGCCGCCGCCCGGCCCTGCCAGGGCCGCCGGCTGCTGTCGGCCGCCGCCACCCCGGCCGTGCCGGCCCCCAACCAGCAGCCCGAGGTCTTCTACAACAAGGTGAGGCCGCCCCAGCGCTTTGTTCTCTGGGGACGGAGGCCGCCGGGTGGGAAGGGACTGGATCTCTTGGGGCCTCAGTTTATCCAGCTGGGACTCGAGGGGTTTGCTGCAGTTGCAGTTGCACACCTTCCCTTCCCTGCCTGCGAGCAGTTTGGCCCCTTCGCCGCCCCGACACCTCGGCTCCATTATGCAGCTGTGACTTTGGCCACTTATTTGTCTTGTCTGGCCGCTGCCCGTTTTCCGGGTTCCATCCCCCGCCCCCTCCCCCACCCCCAGTCGTTCTCGACTTTCAGGCCTTAGTTGTTCTGTGTCTGCGCAGAGTGTTCACGACATCACCACCCAGAGGACATGTCCATTTAAGACCCTCTTTGCAGGAACAGTTTTGTCTTTTCGTAGTCTTTTATCCCTTGACTCATGCCCTCGTCCAAGAACGTCCAAAAGGAAAAACAAAAAGGAGTCCTTTTCAGCTAAGGTTCACCAGTTCGCCGAGAGGCCAAGGCCACGGCCCCGGCCGCTCGGCGTCCTGGCACTTCCACTGCTGGCAACTGGGAAAGGGTGGAGACCTTCGCTACAACAGCGCAGTCCCCAAATGGTGTCTGTGCCTTCCAAGGCTCTTTCTTTGGTCAAAGAAAGGAGGGACTTTCCAGGATAACGTTGACTCCCAGTAGCTGATTTCTTGCTCAGTCAGGACTTGGGAATATTTTCTCTTTTGATCTTTGAGTTTGGGTAAAGTGCTGAAAGTCACAGAGAAGGAAACTGGTTATGAGAGTTCATTTTGTTTGTGCAAAAAGTGTAGTTGCTGCCCTTCTCTGAGCTTCAACTTCTATAAAGTGGGAAGGGGTCAGAGGGTGAGCACAGGGGTTCATACACCACGTGGGCACTTAACAGGAGTAACAGCTCATATTCTCTGTGTACCTCCTTGTGCACCTGGCACCAGTCTAAGCATTTACCTGTTGTGCCGTTTAATCCTTAAACAGCCCGGTGGGGTAGGTACTGTGATTATCTCCATTTTACAGTTGAAGAGACTGAGTTACAAAGAGGTTTAGTGAGTTACCCAAAGACTCAAGTCAGCGGCAGAGTTGGGGTCCACATCTAGGCCCCCAAGAGTAAGCCGATAACCAGAACCTTCCATGGTACTATTGTTGCAACTCGGTGGGAATAAAGGGGTCACTGCTGACTTAGGATGCTGTAGAGACAGCCCCTGGCTGGCTGCTTTCAACAGGGGACCTGCTTGTCTGGTCAGGAGCTTGGCTGCAAATCTGCACAGAGACAGTGGGTAAAGGCACATCTGTGTGATTTAAAGGGTGTTACAAATGGTCATTTGCAAGGGAATAAAAACAACAGGTAAAATAAGATGCCCTTTGCATAACACAAGCCAAAAAGGCAGCGGCTGCTGCTCCTTAGGCTGCTTAAGGAGGAGTTCATGCTTCAAAGACTTGAACATCAAGCAGAAATATCCTCAAGGGAAAGGCAGCAGCATCCCAAGCCTTTGTGGCCACAGGATCTAATGAAGATCATCCTCCTTTGTGCTTATGTGGAGGTGAGGAAACAGGGTCCAAACGTGCACACAGCTCTGGTCGATAGCACGAGTCCTGTTCTCTAGATTTAGTTCATAAGGTAAGTTGGAGCAGAGTGAAATCTTCCTGCAGCTGCTTTTCTTTATCAGATTTTTTTGAGATCCTAAAAGTAACCCTCGGACTTACCTGCTGGTCCAGTGGTTAAGACTCCACGCTTCCACTGCAGGGGGCCCCTGTTTCGATCTAAGATCCCACAGGCCACGCGGTGCAAGAGAGAAAAAAAAAAAAGAATGCTATTTTTAAAAAAGGAACCCTTGCTCACTGTATACAAATGCATAATTAAGTAAAGCTTCCCGCATACCCCACTGCACTCCCTTCAAGAGCATTGTTAACTGGTAGGTCTGTGATCTTGTAGACTTTTTCTTTGCCTCAGTGTGTGTGTGAGAGCATGGGCAAGTGAGCGTTCACCAGGTTTTTTTGCTTTTACTTAAATGAGATCCTTGCACTTACTGTTCTGAAGCTGTCTCATTGAACAATGTATCTGGATTGTCTTCCTAAACCAGTACATTCAGATCTTATTTATTCTTCCCAGGGGTCACAAAGCAATCCGCATGAGCAATCCACACTCGGCTGGAACAGGCCCCTTTTAAAGCTTCTTGGGCCATTTTCAGTGTTGAGTTGTTGCAATCCCTGATGGCAAGAATGCCAAGGTCTAATCCTAACATTTTGAGTCTCTTACCAGGAGCTGTAGGTACAAACTAGATCATATGCCTGGACATTTCCCTGGGGATTATTGATTCCTTGATGTTCAGTGAACTGTTCTGGAGTCTGGAGTTTCCCCAGAAGGAGCTGTTCCAGACTTTGAAGTTGCTTCTATAGGCGCTGGATTTTCTCACCCAAGGGTATTTGGGGGAATGTTGCATTTCAAGCTTGTTGGGTCTCTCCTTGAAGAGGGGGTGGCACAGGCAATAGGTCTTTTCCTTCCCACATCTATTTCATAACCAGAAGAGTCTATAGAGTGGGGTGGTTTGGTCAGCCTTCCTGGGGTCCTCTTGCCTTTACTTGTCCTGGGTGGAGCTACAGGGTTGGGGGAACTTCTTTGTTGGGTTAGGGAGATTACAGGACAAGTTCCTCCCCCACTTACCAGCAGGTACCTGTATGGGGAGCTGATGATGGCCAAGCTTCATGAAGATCAACATTTCTCATCCTTGGTGGGTTTCAGGGACACAGCTCTGTCAAGGAAACTGATTTTCATTTTTCATTCCTTTTTTCTTCCCTGACTTGGAGAGTAATTAAGATCTGGAAAGACAACTCAAAGGAAAACTCAAGGGAGTGTGGTTTCAGCAGAGTAATTCCTTTGGATGAGGTGTGACTAATACTTTTCATCTTCAACATCACCAGTTCATGTTGGTTGATAATAATAATGAAGATGAGAAAAATCACTGGACACTATTTCACTCTGTGGACTCAGGCTGCCTGTCACTCAGTAACATCAATCCGGGTAGGTTCACTCATTAAAAAACACCTCAGCAACCCCAATTCCAACCAACAAAACAGGCAAGAATCCCTGATCATGGGAAGCTTGCATCCTGGAAGACAAGCGAAATGCATAGTATGGAGCAAGCTGATCGATCGGCGCTATGGAGAAAAATAAGGCAAGAAAGAGGGATATGGAGGGTGGTACAGTTACTTAGCTCTGTACCTTAGCTGCTACATCTGTAAAATGGGGTAAAAATCCCATCTACATCATATGGTTGCTGTCAGGATAAAAGGGAGGCATCCTTGCACAGCCCTTAGCAAGTGCCTGGCTCATGGCTTCTTGCACCTCCGTATTTACTGCAGCCTTAAATAGGAGATAACAGTGATGCTTTTGAGCTTAGAATATAATGGTGGTATAACTCCATTTTATGCGGGCACTGTTGTAGTTGTAATTTGTTTCCTGGAGGGCTGCTCTAGGTTGTGGTAAAGTTGAATGGGAGCTTGGGGTGAATTAAATTTGTGTCTTGGGAGCTCCCTGGCATTCCAGTGGTTAGTTCTCTGCTCTTTCACTGCGAGGGTTCAGTCCCTGGTCGGGGAACTAAGATCCTGCAAGCTGCGCCTTGTGGCCAGGAAAAAAAATATTGTGTCTCTATTCTTAACCTCTTGACCACAACATTCAGGAACTAAAGAGAAAACTGACAAAAAGAGAATTAAAAAAGGGTCTCCTTATATCGAATTTTCTGATTCCAATAGTAATACATCCTCAGTACAAAAACTCAAGCATTACAGAAGTATGTGAGGTGGAAATTCACTGGACATATACATAGGCACATATAGATGTTCATTGCTGCATATTAGCAAAAACCAAGAAATAAGCCAGCCTGCCTTCCATGGGGAAACAGTTGAACAACATATGTTGCAGCTATAGGAAAGAATAATTCTGTGCACACAGTAGTTAAAGGAATTAGCTGGAGCCGTATGAATAATGGATCTCAAAAACAATGTTTCAAGAGGGTAAAATGTCTAGTACTCTGAGTGATGTGAAACTAATTAAAATTATCAAAACAGACTTTCTATCAAATGTGGATAAACATAGGTCCATATAAATGGCTAAAAATGTCCTGGAAGGAAAATGCTCCTTGGCGTGAGGGCAGGGCTGCATAGGGAATCTGCTTGTGGGCAGTGATTCAAGGGGACTTTAAATGTTTTATTTCTTTAAAATTAAGTGGCCTATAAGCTAATATAAAAATGAAAAAGAAAAGAAAAACAGTCCTCTGATATCCCACCCCTGCAGATAATCACTGCTAACAGGTGGTATATACAGAATAGGAGTTTGATTTATCTTGTTTTCCTTGAGAGATTGTTATGGAATGAGCCAAAACCTGTGTTGGGCTAAGCAGTGGTTTGGAATGGCTGTGTGCTGAATGAGTTAAGTGCCATATCTCCACAGTGATCACGTTGCTTTTATTGCTTGTTTAGGAGTTTTAAGATCTTTGTAGAAATAATAGAAAGTCCAGGAATGTGAGACCAAAGGCCCTGGGGGATGAGGAAAGAATGTTCAGGGAGACATTCTGGGGGAGGTGGCTGCCCTTGGCCTTAACCCCAAACTAACCCCGAGGTACCTAAGTGGTTGTGTGGATAAGTGTGAATGTGGGTGGCATTCCATGTTTATGTTTCTCTCCTTATGATCTGTTTTCTCTTAGACGTAAATTACCTAACTGCCACTGAAAAAGCAGTTGCCAGCAGGATTCACCCCAGGATCGAAAGCCACAGCATTTCCTCACTCCTTCTTAGGGAAAATAACATATTCCAGGGGTGTAGATTTCCTAGGTAACAGATCCCTAATTCTTTCATGCATCAAAGCTTGAAAATAAAGTCTTTCTAGAATGGGTCCTGCATCTGTAAATTGGAGCTGCTGAATTGGCATTTAACCTTTTTTGGCGACCTTGGGCAGATTATGACTGTCCATTGCCATGGGGTGGAGGTGGCACTAGAATATCACACTGTCCTCGCTTTGGTTAAGACTCCTCTCCAGGGTCCTGCAGTCCTGCTCCCAGCTCTACTGTCCCTGCCCCAGCTTCTCACCCCTCCCCACAAGTTTCTGTTTGCAGTTCCTAATCCGCAGGGGCCTGGAATAGAAGATATCCGAGGAAGCCACGGATCATGTTATCCTCCAACTCAGTAATTCTAAATACGGTAACCTGCCCCAACTTTGCAAAGATGCATGTCTAAGGATGTTTGCAGCAGCAGCACTGTCAGGAATACAGGCAGACCTCATTTTATTGTGCTGTGCTTTATTGCACTTTGTAGATACTGCGTTTTTTACAAATTGAAGGTTTGTGGCAACCCTGCATTGGGCAAGTCTATTGGCGCCATTTTCCCAACAGCATTTGCTCACTTGCTGTCTCTCTGTCACATTTTGGTAATTCTCACCACATTTCAAATCCTCCACCAGCAAAAAGATTATGACTTGCTGAAGGCTTGGAGGATGATTGGCACTTTTTAGCAATAAAGTTTTTTTTTTTAATTTTATTTATTTATTTATCTATTTTTGGCTGCATTGGGTCTTTGTTGCTGCACGTGGGCTTTCTCTAGTTGCGGCGAGCGGGGGCTACTCTTTGTTGTGGTGCACGGGCTTCTCATTGCAGGGGCTTCTCTTGTTGTGGAGCACAGGCTCTAGGTGCGTGGGCTTCAGTAGTTGTAGTATGTAGGCTCAGTAGTTGTGGCTTGCAGGCTCTAGGCGCAGGCTCAGTAGTTGGGGCGCACGGGCTTATTTGCTCCACGGCATGTGGGATCTTCCTGGACCAGGGCTTGAACCCATGTCTCCTGCATTTGCAGGCGGATTCTTAACCACTGTGCCACCAGGGAAGCTCCAGCAATAAAGTATTTTTAAATTAAGGTATGCACATTGATTTTTTTAGATATCATGCTATTGCATCCTTAATAGACTGTGGTATAATGTAAACATAGCTTTCATATGCACTGGGAAACCAAAAGATTCATGTGACTCCCTTTATTGCAGTACTTTATTGCGATGGTCTGGACTGAACCCCAAATATCTCTGAGGTCTGCTTGCAGTGAAAACTTTTCCTAAAAGTGCATTTGTAGGACATGATTAAATAAATTGTGGTCCGTTAGTTTTGAAGATTGCTGTTGCTTAAAGTAATGAGGCAAATATGCCTGTGGAATAACGTCCAAGATAAACTTACTCATAAAAGCAAGTTATAGAATAAAAGTCCATTATTGGACTTCCCTGGTGGCACAGTGGTTAAGAAGTCCAGTGCAGGGGACACAGGTTTAATCCCTGGTCTGGGAAGATCCCACATGCGCAGAGCAGCTAAGCCTGCGTTCCACAACTACCGAGCCTGCACTCTAGAGCCCGTGAGCCACAACTACTGAGCCCGCGTGCTGCAACTACTGAAGCCCGAGCTCCTAGAGCCTGTGCTCTGCAACAAGAGAAGCCACCCTAGTGAAAAGCCCACGCATCGCAACGGAGAGTAGCCCTCGCTCACTGCAACTAGAGAAAGCCCGTGCGCAGCAATGAAGACCCTATGCAGGCAAAAATAAATAAAATAAAATAAAATAAATAAATTTATTTAAAAAAAAGTCCATGATCTCCACTGAGAATGGACACTCCACACATCTGTCCCGTTCCCTCCAGGACCCCAGCACCAGTGCAGGTCCTGGCACACAGCAGGTGCGGAACCCAGAGCCCCCTCTGTTCTCCACCACCCTCACTCTGCAGGCACGGGGCCCTTTTGGTTCCTCATGTCCCCAAGCCCCTGCCTCAGGTACCCCCTCTGGTCCTCACTGTTGCCTGTTTGTTTCTGCTTCTTCTTGTTGATCGTGTCTCTTCTCCCGGGACTTTGGTTCAACGAGCCAGCACTTGGCTCAGTGCCCAGCATGGCAATGGCACTTGGTTAACACTAACCACTGCATGGATGAGTGAATCCAACTTATAAATTGCAGTGAGATGTATTTATTAAAATGTAGAGAAAATAGAGCATTTTGATGAAAAGCTCTATGAGTTTTGCCAGCAGTTCAGATTCAGAGTGTCAGCTTCTGATGCCATGAGGCTGTCTGTCCCTCTGCTTCTAGAAACTATAATGGGGAAGTGTGAGCCCGGTAGGACCCCCTCCCAGGGTGAGTGAGTTAACATGTTATGTAAGTTAGGCGTTGGGTTTTTGGCCGAGAGGTTATGAAGCATTTGGCCTAGAGTCCACTCTTGTGTTTATTCAAGATGAGTCACTATGAAGCTCTTCTCACTTGAAGCAGAACTTTGGCAGAGGCTTAGTATGAGAACGGTTCTCACCCTAGCTCCCCCTCCCCAAGGAGGGCACCACTGAAGTCTGGCTTTAGGAGAAGGGAAGTGGGAACTCTAAACAGAAGGAAGATTCCAGGTTCCTGCAAACCCCAGTTTATCCTATTAGTTAGAAGGGAGGATGGACTATTGAAAATTCAACAGTGGAGAGTGACTCAACAAATCCAGGGCATTGAGAGGCAGACAGGGACCAGGGAGTGCTCTTTCCAGGGTCCTAGACAAGATCAGGGGACGGTGTGGGCCCCGCCCAGGAAGGAAGGGGTGAGGACCTGGGGAGTTTAACCAGACTGGCCCACTCTCCGCTTCATACTTCCTGATCTTTGCAAAATAACAACGAAAACTTTTTCAGGATAAACTAATTTAGTATGCTGCTTTGCAGGTATCTGGAGTAATGTACTGACTGTGGTGGTGAGACACACTGTGTGTGGGGTCTTGGCTTAGGAGCTTACACCCCTCGTTGAATTTAGTCCTCACATTTAAGCCCCCGGATGTGTCATCCCCAGAGACTGATGAAGCATCTGGAAATGAAGGGATTGGCCCCAAGGTCACAGCCTTTGCACTTGCTGTTCCTGCTGTTCCTTGCTGTTCCTGCTGCCTGGATTGCTCATCCTCCCATTCTTTCCATGGCTGGCTCCTTTTCATCAGTCAGGGCTCAAGTCAAATGTCTGCTCTTCAGAGAAACCCTCCCTGACCATCCCAGCTAGAGCTCTCTGTCTTCCTCCACTTTAGTACTCTCTGTGGATCCTGTTTCTCTCCTTGCACTTAATGACTGCAGTCTGAGACTGCCTTGTATATTTGATTGCTTCTTTATTTTCTGTGCCTACCAGAACGCCAGCTCCATGAGAGAAAAGTTCCTGAGTTTGGTTCCCGCTGTGTCCTCAGCCCTAGAACCATGCCTGGCCCATTGCAGGTGTTCACTAAATATTTATTGAATGGATGAAAGAATAATCTAACTTGGTTCTCATAACAACCCTACTATAGCAGTGTGGTAGAGGAACAGTTGTTGCTAATTCTTCGTTGCTCCTCCCAGGCAGAGGTGGAGGCTCTCCTCCCTCCCTGTGAATCTGGACTGGGCCTGTGACTCATGCTGACCAATGGAATTGGTGGCAGAAATAAGGCCATGTGACTTCTGAAGCTAGGTCTTAAGAAGCCTTTCATCTTTTGCCTGGTGTCTTGGAACACTCTCTAGGGAAGCCAGCTGTCATGTGAGAGGTCTGACTAGCCTGAGTCTGCCATACAGTCAGGAAGCCCAAGCAACCACGTGGTGCCAGACATATGAGTGAAGAAAGTATCTTGCACCTGCAGCCCCAGGTGCCCTCGCTCTGCAACCACATGACCAAGCCCTGCCCAGCTGAGCCTAATCGATGGACACAACTGTGAGAGATAATAATAAAGCATTTTAAGATACCAACTGTTGAGGTGATGTTACACAGCAGTATATACAGATTACTGATAAGAAAGGAACATAGTCTTCATTTCTCAGGTCAAAGAAACCAGGGCATTGAAAGGTCAAATGACTTACCCACAGTACTTGGCAGAGTGGGTGCTCCAGCTTGGATTGTCTCCAAGGCCTGTGCTTTTAACTTCTAGGCCACATCCCTCTGAAGCTAATTCCTATTTGTTCTTTCTGATTTTTTTTTAAACATGGCTGGTGGTCAGTATCAGGTTGAGAGCTGGTCCTGAGGACTTTCTTCCTTCTCATTGTAGATCTTCATAAACAATGAGTGGCATGATTCTGTCAGCAAGAAAACTTTCCCCACCATCAATCCATCCACTGGGGATGTCATCTGTCATGTAGCTGAAGGGGACAAGGTGAGATATGGTAACTTAACTTCAGGGCAGGGCTGAGTGGGTTGGGGGTGCACAAGGATGGTTTCATTCTCTAACATGTTTTTTTATGGTTGAAACTGTGTGTGTATTACTTTCATAACTAAAAATGCCAATTAAACTTTTTGAGTTAAGTGAAACCACAGAAACTCTTCCTTGCAGGTAAAAGTGCTAGATTGTACCCAGTTTCAAGAATTCATACAGTTGTGCAAAGAAGATGTGGCACATAAATACAATGGAATATTACTCTGCCATAAAAAGAAACGAAATTGAGTTATTTGTAGTGAGGTGGATGGACTTAGAGTCTGTCATACAGAGTGAAGTGAGAGAAAAACAAATACCGTATGCTAACGCATATATATGGAATCTAAAAAAAAAAAAAAAAAAGAACTGATGAACCTAGTGGCAGGGCAGGAATAAAGACGTAGACAGACATAGAGAGTGGACTTGAGGACACGGTGGGGAGGGGGAAACTGGGGCGAAGTAAGAGTAGCATCGACATATATACACTACCAAATGTAAAATAGATCGCTAGCTAGTGGAAAGCAGCAGCATAGCACAGGGAGATCAGCTCCGTGCTTTGGGACAACCTAGAGGGGTGGGATAGGGAGGGTGGGAGGGAGGCTCGAGAGGGAGGGGATATATGTGTGCATGTGGCTGATTCACTTTGTTGTGCCACAGAGGCTAGCACAGTATTGTGAAGCAGGTTATACACCAATGAAGATATATTAAAAATAAAATATAAAAAATTCATACAGTTGCAGAATTGTAGACTTGGAATTTAATTTGAGAACATCTAATCCAATCTGTCCATTTCAGACCTGGAAGTTGAAGGTCAGAGAAGGGAAGTACACAGCTAGATGGAAATCTTCTTCAGCAGAATTCAGGTCTCCTGAGATCTAGCTATGGTGTCTGTAGTATATTTGGATTTGATTATATATACCCATAGTAATGAAAAAACAGTAATACTAATTTTAAAGTTAAAAATTAGACTTTCAGGGGCTCCCCTGGTGGCGCCGTGGTTGAGAGTCCGCCTGCCGATGCAGGGGACACGGGTTTGTGCCCCGGTCCGGGAAGATCCCACATGCTGCAGAGCGGCTGGGCCCGTGAGCCATGGCTGCTGAGCCTGCGCGTCCGTCCTCAACAGTGAGAGGCCCGCGTACCGCCAAAAAAAAAAAAATTAAACTTTCAGTAAAAAACATTTATTAAAATAGAAAAAGCATTAAAAATAATTCAAGAATGCCTCCTGTCCTCTGCTTTAAAACAGTCTTCTATATGTACATTTAAGGCCTTTCTCCCTTTGCTAAAAGAAAGTGTGAATACTTTCCTGGCTCATAGGGTAGTCTAATGGTAAATGTATTTAATATTAATGAAAACCATGCTCCGTACCTCCTGATACACATCTCCCTATATGGAAAATGCTAGCTGTGTTGATTTTATTGCTTTCCCAGGAGAGGGAAGCTGGTTAAACCTGCATTAGTTGGAGACTGCCAGTCGTCTCCGAAGGAATGGTTAATTTCACTGGGCTTGTTTTGAAAGGAAGAGGGGGAAAATGGCCAATTTCTAAGTGCTGATCCCTGAGTGCCTCTCCCTACGTTAACTCTTAGGGGATTTTTTTTTTTTTTTTTTTTTTTTTTTTGGGGGGTCCCCGGGCCTCTCACTGTTGTGGCCTCTCCCGTTGCGGAGCACAGGCTCAGCGGCCATGGCTCACGGGCGCAGCCGCTCCGCGGCATGTAGAATCTTCCTGGACCGGGGCACGAACCCGTGTCCCCTGCATCGGCAGGTGGACTCTCAACCACTGCGCCACCAGGGAAGCCCCCTCTTTGGGGGATTTTGAAATGGAAATCCAGAAATGGAAACCATCAGGATCCTCATTCCCACCATGACTGCTGGGAAGGAGAGAAGCCCAGTCATTTAATTCTGAAGCTGGTCAAACAGAGCCCTTTTGAGGCTGGGAGGAACTGTTTGGGGCAGTTCCCACACAGGCATTGACTGAAGCTCCTGTGGGCACGTTCGGCAGCGGGGCAGGAGGCATTTGGAGGTGGTTATTGCTGAGAAGGCCTGAAGTACCTCGGTGGGTGTTTTCCAGGAAGACGTGGACAGGGCAGTGAAGGCTGCCCGGGCTGCATTCCAGCTGGGCTCGCCCTGGCGCCGCATGGATGCGTCCAAAAGGGGCTGG